GAAACTAACGAAGTTCCTAAAGTAGGACTGACAGAAGAAAAGTTGGCGTGCCCTCTACTCCAGCATGCTCTGTCCAGAGAAATAATGTGGTACGTTGGAATTGACCCTGGACTTTGGAGCCAGAAGTGCGGTGTAGGGATCAGCTCTGCCACTCACTGGTTTGGTGATTTTCAGTCTTTTAACTTCCTGAGTCTCTGTTCTTCATCTGTAAAATGGCCATGCTTATGATAGCCCACAAAGTTTATCTTGTGAAGATCAAGGTCAGTAATGGGTACGAAAGTGTTTATAAACCTCAAGGTTAACATGGTAATGCCAATAAACATTGTATCTCAGAGATGAGAAGGACAGAAAGTAACAGTGTTAAATCCAAGTGCTATGTCTGATTTCCATGTCTGCTTGCGAGAAAGAAAGCTTTGCTTTTTTTTACAGCTTCATGAAACTAAAACATATACATTCATGTATATTTGAACATGAGCTTTAGAGGAACATATAAGAATCACATAGGAATTCACAGGCATACACAGTAATATAGAAACAGAAAATAAAAACTTCCTAAAAACAAATTAAATCTTTAATAATATATATAAATACTACCCATATGCCATGTACTGTGTTATCACTCAGTTTTATTATTTTAACAAAACCTCATAAGGTGCTATGATCTTGTAAAACTGATCACATGGACTATCTTTGAGTGTATGTGTGCAGTTTGTTTTAACTGAAATTGTCTTATTAACATGGAAACACAGAAATGGTCAGAAAAACAAGGGAAACTGTTTTATTCATAAGTATTTTATTTTTCTTTGTTTAAAAGTCTATCTGTAGGGTATACTCTTTAATGAATACCAGGAATATAATTCTATTCCAAGTGAGAAGCAGTAATGTAAAGGTAAACATTTTAACAAGAGCTCAGCTAAGATTATGTTTAGTAATAAGGAAAGAACTTCAGGCTGGTTTTTAAAGATTAATTTGTTAATTAGGTAAACACCTGGGTTTGGTTCATCACTTCCCTTGGAAACTTGATTAATTTATGAGATTTTCATTCCCATTTACTAACAAAAGCAGTGAGTCATCCAGTGTCACACACCAATGACAGCAAAAGTTAATTGGATTCTAGATCCTTGTGCATTTCTCCCTTCAGCAATTCCTTGTTGCTTTGAGTGGAACCATGCTCTCAGAGAGTCTGTGTGTTTGTGCAGGGGAGAGAGAGCAATACAGAAATGAGAGGCATTACAAGTGGTTGGAAAGTGAGTTGGAAAAAACAAAAATATGTGTTTGTGTCTCCTTTGGTTTGTGGTAAGATACTCTGGAGGGATACACAAAGGTAACCAAACCAAAAACACAAATCAAAAAAAGGAATGCAAACACCTGCCTTGGTGCATATGCTTTTTATAGGACTTTGGTGTGAATCATGTGAGTGTATGATTAACTATTGTAGAAAAGGCTGTATAAGATGGTCTGTGGTTTAAAGTGTTCCAGGGCTGGGTCTTGGGAGGGGAACACAGAGGTACAGCTGCAGCTCATTGTAGTCAATCTGGTCTCCAAGAAAGAGATGCTTGGGCATGTGGGGGTGGGGTGGGGGAAGGGGATTCGAGATGGAGAAAGGAGGGGAGAGGCAGATGGACCTGTGAGGAGTGGTGGCTGGGAAAGCTACTGTCTCCCAGCCCTGCGATGGGGCTGCAACCTTTCTTTGGCTCTGACAGTTAACATCTTGCATTCAGTTTAGAAGTACCTCCTCAGACATCTACCTGTATATGCTGTGTGATCTTGGCGGTATAAAACAATACTAAGAGATGAAGGGGAATTCATCATGCTGGTTATTAACACCATTTCTGCTTTCAGCTTGTCTTTGAAAACTCACATTGTTCCTTCATCCTGTTTTCTGTATCAACTTTATTTTTTTGGTGTATTTTCTTGTTACATCATGCATTTATATGAGCTGAATCATATAAACCATAAATCCTTCCCAGAACTGGAAGGTGTATGAACGAATACATGCATAACTAATCTAGGAAAATGTTAATAGGCTATTTCTGAGAGAGAATACAAGTGATTTTATATTATTTTTCTAGACTTATTGAGATGTAATTGACATATAACATGGTATATGTTTAAGGTGTGATGATTTGGTACATGCATATGTTGTGAAATAATTTACCACAATAAGGTTAGTTAACACAACCATCACCTCACATGACTGCAATTTTTTTTTTGCTGTTCTTGTGAGAACGTTTAGGATCTACTCTCTATGGGTGATTTTAGGTATCTTATGGTTAGCCTTCTGCATTTCCAAGTATGTATGTACATATATTATATGTATATTTACAATGGGCATTACTTCTTTTTCTAATTAGATAAAAACAGTTTTTACCAAATGCAAAAGAAAATATTTGTGGTGGGACTGGTGGACTTTTCCAGCAGAAAAAAATGCATAACGTGGCAGAGAAAGAAGACCAGAAAGGGGCTGTGGGCTGTCTTAATTTTCCTTTTACCCTCCGCTTCTGTGAAAACCCGGAAAGTACAGTGTATAAATAGTGGTTCAGTTGAAACACTTTGAAAAAGAAGTGTATAAAATAATAGTGTACAATAATAATAGTTTCAAGTCAGTAAATACAGGCGTATATCTTCTTTTTTAATAGTTACAGTGTGCACCACTGCATGGATCTAATGTCATTTAAAAACCCCCGATTGTTGAATATTTGGGTTGTTGCTACCTTTATTTGGCCAAAATGAAATCTTAAAGTGTGGCACTGCCAGGTCAGAGTGTTTGTAGCCAATGTCATTACACACAAATATCCATCTTTCGTCTTCCAGATCCACCACACTCAGATGACCTTACTGTCCCCACTCCCTGGGCCTCTTGCATCCTGCCCAGCTGCCTTGTGCTACTTTGTGTACTTACTTCTCTCTAGGCCTCAGACCACCTTCCCTTCACGTTTCTGCAACCTGATGCTTGGTCATCTAGTAGTTTTATATGGTACCATTTATCTAGCAGTCTTGCCTCATGACGATTGGTATCGGAATCAGTTATTTCACTTGGAGGTTGTAAATTGGTGTTTTCTGATTCTACCACTTGGTCTCTAACTGATTTTTAAAAAATGCTTATTTATTGAGAGAGAGAGAGAGAGAGAGAGAGAGAGAGAGAGAGAGCACAAGCAGGGAAGGGGCAAAGAGAGAGGGAGAGAGACAATCCCAAGCAGGCTCTGTACCATCAGTGCAGAGTCCAATGTGGGGCTTGATCATGACCTGAGCGGAAATCAAGAGCCAGCCACTTAGCTGAATGAGCCACCCAGACACCCCTCTATCTGATTTTTTTAATACAGCAATATACAAGTAGGGAGATCTTTCCCAGAATCAGCAATTCAATAAAGTAAAAATTTCAAGCCTGAAAAAAAAAAAACAATGAAAGAGCAAGATTCTTATGTTAGTAGCTCTCTACCATCTATACTTTATTGCACATTGAGAAACAAGGATAAAAAATCTAATTGTACAATCTGACTTTTATGTAAAAATTTTGCCCTACCAGACAAAGAATCAAGGCCATATAAAAGCAAAACCAGAATAATTTATTTGAATTCATCTTTCCTTGAACAAAAATAAAAATGTCATTTCCTTCAGTGTTTTCTTTCTTTTCAGAAAAGCCATTGGTAATTGACAACCTAGGAGAAGGCAAGTCTTTCTGTTGTGATGGTCACCCTTATTCTGTGGTACAAATAGCAAGAAGGAAATTTGGGAATAATATTTTTTAAAATTAGTATAGTCGTTTGGCATGAATGAGAATTTAATAAAACAAAGCCTGCTGGAAATTTTACAAACATGAAGTTTCCACATTCGTCACTCAAATAGGATAGTCAATGTTGTTGAAAGTGGAAGTATAGATTAGAACTAATTGAGCTTTTTAGAGAAATTTGATATGAAAAGAGTGATTGGAAAGTCCCATCTTTTTCTTCCTTCAGTCAGCATGATAAAGACGACATGTCCACTGAGAACTATTTTCCCACCATGTTCCTCTGTAGCACAATGCATTGTGTGTATGCTGGGAAACCTTCAGTCCAGCTTTATAAATGACTATATTCTGCATTAAAAAGGAGTAATGAGTAAGAGGTATTGGGCTTGATTTCTTCACTGATTCCGGGTGAATATACATTTCCACTTTTTTTCCTCAAAATGTTCCTTCATTATTTCACTCCAGTGCACAGCTTTACCCAAGAATGCTCACCTGGCAAAGAGATGTTACAAGATGCATAAAATATTCTACAGATTTCCAGTTCCCCAGGTAGAGGAACCTTAAACTCTTTTATTCCTTTCAATAGCTGCAAATAACGAGTGTTTTAAACTAGTTCAAGAAAATTACATTTATAAACCAGTAAGTGTAAAGAGTAAGCAATCACTGAATTCTGTAGATAATTTCCTTTTGAAAGTAAAGGTTTAGTAAAAGGTTTACTTACTCAAATGACTCAACAGCCAAGTCATGGGTTTATAATTTTTTTTTTTAATGTTTATTTATTTCCGAAGGGGAGAGAGACAGAGCGTGAGTGGAGGAGGGGCAGAGAGAGAGAGAGAGAGAGAGAGAGAGAGAGAGAGCATGAATGGGGGAGGGGCAGAGAGAGAGACAGAATCTGAAGCAGACTCCAGGCTCTGAGCTGTCAGCACAGAGCCCGACACGGGGCTCGAACTGACAAACTGCGAGATCATGACCTGAGCAGAAGTCAGACACTCAACCGACTGAGCCACCCAGGTGCCCGGCAGTCATGGGTTTAAAACAAACTGTGCCTGGAGCATTCCATGAGGTCAACAGATAGCATTTAAATAAATGTACCCATCAGTTCAATAAACAAATAACAGCTGAGTACTAAAATACAAAAACAGGTCAACTTACCAATTTGTTAAACACCAGTCCAATTAGGTAACAGACACATGCAGTAATGAAAACAACACTGCTAGAATAATCTAAGAGCCAAAGAAAGAATTTTTTGGCTGTCTTTTCTATTACAGAAGCAACTGTCAAACAGAGGTACAAAAAAGCAGTAAGTTATTTTTCTTTACCCAGAGTTGGCACCTTCACTTTGGGAATGGGGGAATGAGAGAGATTCACTAACCACCTGTAATACTACATTATTCATAAAATTGATCGTTAAGTTTAACTGGACTTAAAGAATAAAGTGATAGGCAGTCAGGAGAGAAAAATAGCCTATGTTTAGGGAATACTTGCTTTATTGAGGAATATTTATTCTACTTAAGGACCATGAGTCTTTAGATAAAATAAACAAACAAGAGTCCACTAAACTATGGAATCCTTAAGAGACTGAGCCTTACTTAACCTCTATCCTTAGCAGATAGTTAATAGTCTGGAAATGTTTATTAGAATGGCTGTAAATAAAATAAGTGTATAACAGTTTCCGATGAAAGAAAAGAAAGCACTGTACTTGTTCATTGTTAAAATTTAGAATAGGTAAAATAAGTCTGTATTCAAGGAAAATGACACTTTAAAAAATGTTGGCTCCCCTTTAGTATGAGTTGGAAGAAAGGGAGAAGAAGGAAATTTTAAAAGAGATTTTAGAGAGAAGGGAGACAGTTTTCCAGAGAGAGAAGAAAAAAGAAAGAAAGATTCAGAGAGGCAGACGTCCAAGGATGGAGGTAAAGGAAAAGAGAGTCTTTGGAAGACAAAGACACACAAAGGGAAGCCAAGAAAGACTAGGAAGACAGGAAAGGAGGTGAAAAGAGGCCATGGAGATGGGGAGGGGGACAGGGGGTGTGAACTTGGGTTCTGGGGTTGCTGCCCCTTGAGGGAGCATGTCCTCAATAGCAGTTTCGAATAGTCCTTTATGTGCTAGAAAAAAAAGCATTTCTGCTTTATCTTCAACCTTCCAAGTTTATTTCTGAAATAAAGTTTTATATTCCCAAGAAACCCTAAAGATATTGCTCATGTCTGAAAGCAGTCTAGTTTCAGAGGGTGATTTTCTTTTTTAACTTAGAGATAGTGTTTTTTTCCCCACACACACAAAACCAACCCAATCATTTTATTTTGTGTTCTGAAACTGTAGCTGCCATATTCTACAGTTTTGTAAATAAATCAGCATTTATTTTATATTTGGGAGCTTTAAAAGATAAACCTCAAGTTTTCATTTGTTTTGTTTGCCTTCTAATTGGAAAAAATAGATAATGCAGAGTGAAAGACATAGAAAAACACATGAATTTAAATAGGATAACATTTTTAATTGGATATAATCTCAAAATTGGGAAGCAGATATACTCTGAAAACTCTTTCTGTTCCTTATATGTAACAAAGAAAAATATCCCTTATTTTCTATTCCAGAAGTAAAGAGAGTCAGGTATCATTTTTGAGAGGTAGGATTTTGGTTTTTTTTTTTTAACTGTCATGGAATAATAGTCCAACTCTTGTGTTCTACTAGATTAATAAT